CATTCACTTAATCTTTGCTTGGTAATCTCTACAGTCTTGAAATCCACTCTCCCTTCGCTGTCTCTAAAACCCAATGACTTTATTAAATCTATGTTGTCTTCGGTAGGCATAGGGTGAAGCCCTTTACAGTAGAGTATCAAGTGCTCAGCCGTCTCGTCCTCCTCTCCACAAGCATGGATGGATGGATGGATGGATGGATGGATGAATACGGCTGAGCCCTTTGGATCGGGCGGTAGCTTACGCCACCTAGCCATTTTGTTTTACCATTTAAGCTTAGAATATTTAAATGTGAAATCTATATTCACTCCGCAGTGCAAAGAAAGTGAGGCTATGAAACCCCCTTGCCATCAGTGATTAAGAAAATACCTAGTTTTCTCTCGATTTCTGCCACCATTCACTTAATCTTTGCTTGGTAATCCCTACAGTCTTGAAATCCACTCTCCCTTCGCTGTCTCTAAAACCCAATGACTTTATTAAATCTATGTTGTCTTCGGTAGGCATAGGGTGAAGCCCTTTACAGTAGAGTATCAAGTGCTCAGCCGTCTCGTCCTCCTCTCCACAAGCAGTGCACACTGTATCAATTTCCTGGTACTTCACTCTGTATGTTCTGGTTCGCAGAACACCCGTTCTTGCCTCAAACAGCAATGAGCTTCCCCTAGAATTGTCATAAATGCTTTCTTTGGCAATAACTCTTTTGTTTAATCTATAGCTTTCCAGAGCAGTCTTTGTCTGCATTCCCTCTAGCCACCGATCTCTTTCTGTGGCCTTAACTTTCTTCTTAACTGAGACTTGCTCTTCCGTATCTTCGCTATAGCCCAAAAACCTTCCTCTTAATTTCCTAGTGCGCTGTCTCCACTTTGTGTCTACACTCCTCATGTATAAATAGCTGAAAACCTTTCGTGCCCATTGCTCCCCATCCATTAGCCTCAACCTATCCTCAAATTCTACCTTGCTCACCGCTTCCCTGCTCTCAATGATGCCCATCCCATGTCTCCTTGTACTCCCTGGTTTGGCGTTTTGCAATGCGCCCCCAAAGCCAGTCTACCTACTCCGCGCTGTTTTATTTCTAGTTTCGCATGCACTTCGGATTTCATGCATAGCACTGCGTTTCCAAAAGTCAAGCCAGGCACCATGACCCCTTTCCAAATCTCTCTCACCACCTCATACCTGTTGTAATTCCAAAGTGCTCTATTTTTCATTACAGCTGCATTTCTGTTGCCCTTACCTATTATATACTTTTCATGGTCTCTGAGATATTCTGCACCATCACATATCCATACTCCTAGATACTTGTATTTACTAGCTCTCTCAACTGTAATATTCTGTATCTTCAGCCTCTCAACTTCATCCTCGTTAAAAATCATGACTGCCGATTTTTTGCTACTGAATTCTAAACCTAATTCCTCTCCTTCCCTACCACAGATGCTCATTAATTCCTGCAACTCTGTCCTGTTGTTAGCCATTAGTACAATATCGTCCGCATACATCAATCCCGGTAAGGATTGCTGAATTTTTTGGCCTAGCTTACTGTAAGAAAGGTTGAACCCAAGCCCACTCTTCTCTAGTCTATCCTCCAATCCTCTCAGATACAACATAAACAGCAAAGGCGATAACGGGCACCCCTGCCTAAGGCCTCGTCTTATCTCTATTTTCCCTGTCGCCTTTCCTTCCCATGTTATAATCACCTTGTTATCTTTGTAAATGTTCCTTAATAGTGCTGTTAGTCCTTCATCTAGGTTTAAGTTCTCCATTATGTCCCACAGGTTTCTTTGGTTCACATTGTCATAGGCACCCTTGATATTCAGAAATGCCAGCCAGAGCTGTCTGTTTTCTTTTTGCGCTATTTCTATACACTGTGTTAGAGAAAATAAGTTGTCCTCCAACCTTCTTTGTTTTCGAAACCCGTTCTGTAACTCGCCCAGTATGCCCTCACAATCTACCCATTCCTCCAGTCTGTTCTTTATAATCTGCATTACCAACCTGTAAATAACCGGTGTCACGGTTATAGGACGATAATTCCTAATATCAGACTTATCTCCCTTTCCCTTATATATCATACTCATCCTACTAAGCCTCCATTCATCTGGAATATTTCCTTTTGTTATCATGGTACTCACTACCTCCCTTAGTTTTGCCTTAGATTTAGGACCCAAATTCTTCACCAGCTTGATAGGGATACCATCTGTGCCTGTCGACGTGCCACTGTATCAGCGCCCAAAGCAGTGCACACTGTATCAGCGCCCCAAGCGGCTGGCTTTAGAACTACACGGATGAGGACAACAAAAAACAATGACTCAGCGCCCCGGCTGGAGTTCGTGTTCTCCGGGGAGGCGGGGGGGGGGGGGGGGGGGGGGACTCTTTTTTTGCTACTTCGGCCTGCATGAATTATGCAACACGCACGGTGCAAATGCCCAGCACAAAAGCCCAAGTCGGTCAAGCTCGAATTCTCTGACGACTGCTTTCGGGAGGGATGCGGCACTAACAATAAACGTCACTTCGAGTTTCACGTTACACTGTGCCCCGAGCTCTATTGCAGAAGATGGTGTAAAGAATCAAGTGCACAGGCCTTGAGTTGGATGACACCGAGGTGCGGGGACAAACAACAAGCGGGTCGGCGCGACCGCAGGCGGTTGTTGATGTGCCTGAACGACTTTGCGCTGTGTTCTGCACCGGGGCCCGCCGTCTGGAATGTCTCCGGCGGGTTGCACCACTGCACGCCTCCTCCTCGCTATCCGTGACGTGTTTCTCGGATGACGCAAAAAGAGACGCGCTCCCTTTATCGCAACCAGCGCTGATAAGCCGACACGCGAGGATCCTGAAGGATCGTCCGCCTCCGATAACGGTCTAGCAGCATCGGCGGCTGGCTGGGCGACCCCTGGCCCACGGCCAGCGCCAATGATGATGCCGTTTTTCATCGCACCGTAGCAACAACACGCGGGCATGGTCAGTGCTGGACCCACGATATACGATACGCGAAAACCAACGATGGCGAAAAAAAGCGAAATTTCGCAGATTCCACCCGTGACATCATAATGGTGACGGCCCATATCGGTTTTTTTTTCCCTTCTCCTTTTACGCCGCCATCAGAAATCGGAGTAGTGTGTTTCGCGGGAAAGAGGGCCACGAAAAGGAGCGTGTATGTGAGTCATGTGCGTGCGTTCGTGTAGATACCAGTCTGCTCAAGGCCACAGAGATTACTAGTGCAATGACCGGAAGCAATATGTTGGACGAAAGCGGCAGCGTCCCGGCCACCGTGGTCCCGGCTCGTGAAGCTGCAGGAGACATCGGTCCCAGGAATACTAAAAGCATCAGGGAACAAGGAGTAGAAAGAAGGCAAAAAGTGTGCTTTGTCTTCTTCACTGCTGCATGGTGGTTTTAGTACTTCTGAGCAGTAACGTAGCCAGAAAAAAAGCCCCCCCCCCCCCCCCCCCCCCCCCCGAAAAAAAGAAAGTATTCCGCCTACGCCATTGCGGTGCCACCAACTAGTCCATCTTTCCAATCTATGACACTGGTAATCGGCGGAACGGCTGAAGGAAGAGTAGTGAAAAGTGGAATAATAACGGTTGAACCAACGAAACGATGCAACTATATATATATATAATCATTCTGGTAACTGGCACACCGCTGCAAAAGGATACACAACAGTGTGTGCGCTGCAAAAGATAATGTTTCGCGTACGTACGGACGCAACTAGCTTGTGCACTGCTGACTTTTCGATCGCTATAATCTCCTGAAACGTCTGAAACCCGACCGCCGTCGCTTCGCGTGCTTGCTTTCTGCTTGAGACCACAGTGCCTCTTTCCTCGGACAAGATATCAGCCAATCGGACGGGGATCGTACGATCCCGGGCGAGGAGGCAAGGTCGTACGACAATCCCTTTACATTTGTCGCATATTTTCCGCACAGTCCGGTCGTGGAAAAGTACCCGGATCAGCCGGGAATGTCGAAGTCAAGGGAGCGTTTGTTTATTCTAGTTCGAAGAAAATCGAGACACGAGCCAACTATTCTCCTCTGCGTCAAGGAGGGAGGTTGTTACACCGACACGGTTTTATAGCCGACTAACAACCAAAGAACGAACGAAAACGACAGCAACAAAGAAGGAAGCACCGGAGGGGGATGGGGTACACGCTACACGAGGCCGCAACTGTTCACGCGCTCGCCACGTGCGCGCGTCCCACGGTCTCGCTCGCCAAGCCGGAAGCGCTCGGCTGGCTTCGCTGCTTCTCGGACACAGCTGGAACGGGACGGCAGCGCGGGTTTCAAGCGGAAACAGCGCCGCAAAAGCCGCCTTCCCGCCTGCAATGACCGGAAACTCCTTGCAATCATTGCACGAAGCAATCTGGGGTAGTTTGGTGCCTGCATCTGCGCGCTGTAGCAGATGCCTGGCTCATTAGATGAACTCTTGAACACACAGACACAGGAAACGAGTTTATAAAACCTGCTATTAGATCGATTTCTGTTGTTTTCGAGCCGAGGAAGGTCATAGAGGCACAAAACAACAGACGCGTTAAAAGTGGCGAAATAGCACTGGGGGACGGGCCAAGAACGTCAGCGCGGCAGCAGCAACAACCACTGGCAACAACAATCGCCACACACACTCCAAAGCGGAATGTTACGCAAGCCAGGTAACACGAACGCAGCATACTACGCGCGCGAAGGCGTTTCCGAGGGTAATATTTAGGCACAGAGTCATCGGGAACACGCGGAACAATATCCGCCCCCAACAACAACAGGTATGCCGCGGACAGCTGGGGAAGTGAGTTTCTGCGGCCTTGAACTCTCCTCGCGTCTCGAGCGAAGGACATCGCCGCGCCAGCCGCGCGGCCACTCCAAGCCCGCCAACGCTCAAGTTGAGCGTCCGTTGGCACCGAAGGAGCTCCGAACTTCATTCAAAGAAAAGCGCTAAACGCCGCCGATAAAAACAAAACCAATTCGGAAGGATCGCCAGCGGGGGGCAAGGGGAGGAAACCGACCGGTGTGCTGCCGAAAAAGAGCAGTGGAAAGTCCCCAGCTGAGCGGCATAAATACAGTGCCGCGGCAGAAAGAAAAAAAGACGCGCGAAAACTAAAACAAAAATCACCTGAGGGGCGCGCGCCGCTGCCGCCAGGGGACAGTCGCGCGCCGCGAGTGGCTGAGCCCCGTCCGCCTCGTGCAAGGCGGGTCCTGATTGGCCGTGCGGAATCTATTTCACGCTGCCCGTCCCTGATGCTCAATCTCTTCGCTAGATCTCTGGCCGTCCGCGTAAGTCCACCCCATCAACCTCATCCCCCAATCCGCGAAACAGTTAGACCAGTGGTCCCCCTCTACATTTCCCGCCCGAGACGCGAGCATCGTCTGCTTCCTCGCGCGCGATCCGTCTGCTGCTAAGCACGCGTCGTCTGCTAGTTGTGCCGAGGGGAGCGTAGCAACGGAGCAGCCAGCAGCTTCCTCCTCCATCCCGCCGCAGCTGACCGACGGGCGCGCGGTCTCTGGGAACTCGCAGGCCAACCGACCACTGAGGCACCTGTCCTGCCGTTACAACGGAACCAGCAACAACGCTAGCATGCCCGGATCCCTGACCGAGAACCTGACGGAGAGCCAGACGCGGGCCATGTGGAGGGCCGCAGACTGCGTCTGCTTCGACGTCGACTCGACCGTCTGCATGGACGAAGCCATCGACGAACTGGCCAGGTTCGCCGGAAGGGACAAGGAAGTGGCTGATCTGTGAGTCCGCTTTGACGACGACTCCACGGGCGACGTTTTTCGACGCGAGAGGAGAGAGTCTATTTTCGGCTCGCTGTAGCGCAGCTGCCGCATTGGCTGGCTGCTCGGTTCGGTGATCGGCGAGGTCGCTGCATCCTACCTTCCGTAGCAACAAGTGATCATTCAGATGCGGCGGTGAAGCTGCTTTAGTGAAAGCTGCGTCCGCTGTCCAAGACGCAATTTGTGTGATGTGCTTTGGGATTTTGGAATTGACAGCATCGCCAAACAAAACGCGCGCACCCCTATCCCCCCCCCCCCCCCCCCCCCCCTTTTCCAAGATCGCGCGCGAACACTTAGATACCCTGTGTTATTACCATTTATGAGTACGTTCGTTATTACTATTTCTTGCGTCTTGGTTCTTTTTTTGACGGTTGTTGGCAGGCTCGGGTCGCGAGTAAAACGGGAATCTCAAGGTAGAGGGGAGCGGGGCCTAAAGCGTGTGCTTCTCCGGGCGCAGCACCAACAAAGCCATGCGGGGAGGCATGACGTTCAGGGAAGCACTGGAGCGGCGGCTGGAGCTGATCAAGCCGACGGCACGCATGCTCCAGGAATACATCGAACAGAACCCTCCGCGGCTGTCCACAGGCATCGAGTAAGTCCGAACTTTGCAACTCTAATTAGTTGTTGTATATGGAACTGGCAATTGTGCAACTCATCCCAGCCCCGCGTGCATTATCATATATGCAATGCGTTCCTCAGCGTCAGTGAAGAGATAGTGTACGCTAGAGCCCTTGGCCTTCTTTTGGTACAAAGCCTTTCCTGATAAGACTGGAGAGGGTACGGTGAATTGGCATTCGACGTACTCAGTTCTTACGAAAACTTTTCACGTGGCAAATATCTGAAACGTGACATCAATTTCTTAACTTTTCATCGAATTAGAAATTAAGTTTTGTAGATTTTTGTGGAACACTGGCAATTTATCTCCTGGGCGTAATCACTAGGTGCATTTGTTTTACTAATAATACTCAAAATTGATGGTCTGTTTTTCATTGCGATATATTATTTTTTGTAATTTAATTATGGCGTCTCAGTATACATTTAGAATATAACGCGAACCCAGGTGAAAAAAGTTCCGGTATATATTTTTGTTGTCAAAGATATTGTAATCTTAAGAATGATTCACTTCAAGACATTTTTACTAAAAGGTTATTTGGTAATCAACTGTGAAAACTAATTCCACTGCTGTCAGGACCACGAGGTCAGCTTTAATTCCTATGAATCCTCGGATGGTGGGTTCGAACATCGCAGTCAAAACGCCTACACCTTGTGAATGAGATTGTGGCTGCATTTTTTAAGACTCTCAGGTGGTATAAATTACACCCTCATTCCTTCACAGGGGCTTACCAGCTGCTCTTTGTTAATCTAGCATGTAACCTCCGGAAATTCATTTGTTCTATCTTCTATTGCTGTCCGACTCAGGGAGCTAGTGGCACAACTGCAGTCTCGCGGCGTAGCAGTGTACCTGGTCTCGGGAGGCTTCCGGTCCATCATCGAAAGCGTGGCTGATGAGCTCGGCATACCCCGCAAGAACATCTACGCCAATCAAATCAAGTTTTACTTCAACGGTAGGTTTCGAGTTTGGCAACGCCAGCAGGCTGTTCCTGCCATCTCTCTTTTCCCCTGATAATCAATCTGTGTGCTTCCCACAGCACCCAGGCTGCTTATCACTCTCCAGAAGTGGCAGGCTGTTGTGTCAGGAATAGCTTCTGTCCCAGAGAGATACTGGCGGAAAAGAGATAGTCGTGTTTGTTCACTCGTGATAATGAAGAATGATGACTAGCAGAAAGGACTCTTTATCCCAACGTAGGGACTCTAGGTGCAGAATCTTGGAGCACAAAAGAGCATAGATATGCCCTGTAGTGTTATCCTGGGACGCTCAAGTGCGTGCACAGGGGAAGGATAGGTTGGTCATTTCATAATAATTCGCATCACAAAGCAAGGTGCAGGGCATTTCAAAGCGGGGTCGTTGATATTTATGACAGTATTCAATTAGATAATACCTGAAGAGTTAGTACCCACCTATGAATCTATAACTTACCCCGACTTCTTGCTCAGCAGTTTACTCTTGAAAAGAAAATTTTGTTCACTGCTGCTCACCGGAATGTAGCCCATGGAATTTGTTTACACAGTACACTTTCGAATTCAAGTAGGTTTCCTGCCAGGATATGGCAGCAGACTTCCGACAAGGGGGAAATGGGAAAGATAAGAGGCTGTCTGGCATTTCTTTGCAGCATTCCTAGACGTGAGCTAGATAACCCTCCTGAACTACGGCAAAACATTTATTCCTATGTCATATCACCACAACTGAATATTTCACCAGTAATTTTTTGGAGTAAGCAAGTTTTTGGACTATTTTGTGCCGGTGAAAATTTGTGATGAAGTGCAATGATTTATGGAGGCAATTTTCGTGCTTGATATTTTTTTTATTATTGGTTTTTCTTCGTGAAAGTTTGGACAAAATGAAGTGCTGCAAATTATGTCCTTAGCATATACCAAACATGCTTATGCTTTGAAAGTCACTAATACAACAGGCCTCGTGCTGAAAGTGCTGAATCGAATAGTGCAATGTCATTCGTAGCTTCAGCACTGTGGAAAACCAATATGTCGTAGCCTTTCTCTGCACTGCAGAAGCTGCGAGTGACATGCCACCGTTCGCTTCAAACCACTATCCCCAAACCCCTGGATTCGAGCAGTATTGAAATGATTTTATTGCAACACCATGGAAATTATTTCATTGCGACACCATTGAAGCTACAGTCTGTTTTAAGGAAAGTGGTACATGCTCTGCTCACCACGATTAGCTGTTTCCTCCTCTCCATAATCCGCTCTGCTGAAGTGAAAAGGGTCGAAGATTTTGTGGGAGGAGCCGGCCCCAGTTTGCTTAATCTGTAAGAGACTGCATTTATTTGAGAGAATATTTAAATTATTTCACGGCAGCGACATTGGATAGAGGCAAATAAGAATGGTGGCACTTGCGTCTCTTTCCACCAGGGGAGTATGCGGGCTTCGACGAGACGCAGCCCACCTCGCACCAGGACGGCAAGGCGAGAGTAGCAGCATTCCTCAAGCAGAAGCACGGCTTCCAGCGCGTCGTCATGGTGGGCGACGGAGCCACGGACATGGCTGCTTGCCCTCCTGCCGTACGTAGAAGCATTACTAAACTCCATGCACGTCGTAATCCATCTGGCAGCAACAGGGGCTGACCATTTTGAAAAAAACACAGAAACAAATTTTGCTAAAAAGAAATGTACAGCAAATAAAAAATAGCTCAGTCGCGTTTTTTTTTTTTTAGTTGAAGTTATAGTATGTGTTTTTTCCAAGCCAAAATTTATATTTGTTTCAATTGCGATGCCAGTGGAAGTCTTCTTCTATCAAGATCATGGTCAAACAAAATAAAGTGAATTTGGGACAGTAACGAATTTTCTTGTACAGTATTTTTTTTTTCTGGCAAGTGTTTTAATATTTAAAAATAAAAGTGCATTGAAATAAAACCCAGAAACTTCCAACCTCAAAAATGTAGAACCACAAAACATTTTGTTGGGTGAAAATCATGTCCCCTTACCTATCATGTTAGCCCATCACCCGATCGCATAATTTCTACCTTGACAGGCTGATGGAGATTAAATATGAGAGATGGATAAGTGTGACTATTTCGTGTATTTTTGTGTGGTTAAAAATGCATGCCAAATGTCTCTCTGTTGTACTTTCCAGGATGCTTTCATCGGCTACGGGGGCAACCAAGTCCGCGAGAAAGTGAAGAAGGCGGCGTCGTGGTTTGTCTACAGTTTCGACGAACTAGTGCAAGAGCTGAATAGGAACTGAGTGGAAGCCGTGCTCTCGCGCATATTTATTTTGTACAGCACACTAGCCAAACCTCTGTCCTTGTGCCTGTGACGGGAACCGAAAGTCGCGGAAACAAGCTCAACAGTTTTCTTCGTTGCATTGTCATCTTGTTTAACTTAACATTTTAGAAACTAACACCAACTAACACTATGATGCCTCCATGCTTCGAAGCTTCGTTTGCCAAGACGTGACACAGTGTCTACTGGAGGCTACTTTGTAGGGAGCACCAACAAAAATGCGGAACTAAACTATCCGCTCCAACAGCCTTGCAGGTTTTTGACAAAATGGCAAGTTGTTGATGAGCCTTTAAAAGTTCGACGTTAAGTTTTGCGAGAGTTGCTGTTGCTGGGAGTGGTTCTATAAAAATATACACAGTAACCGTTAAAGGGCGTTGTAAATGTTTGCCAAACATGGCATATAGTTTCATAAATCTTTTAATTGAGAGCTGTTGTAAATGTATGAAAAGCATGACATAGTTTAGTAAACTTTTGAAGAGCTGGCGTTCATCGTTTGGTCCACAAGCGATGTGCACGAGGACATGTTGGACCACCGTTCGTAGAGGTGAAGCAAAAAGATCTGGCCGCACGAGACTCTTAGCACGTGTGGATGTTGTGTACCGAAAAGAAATTGTGAAGAAAAAAAAAATGGTTGAGAAATGTGAGAAAGCGTTGTCTCCTTATTGTGAAAACGATCTATTAAACTCGCTCCGAGAATGGACCGCGATTCACGGTACATTTTCGGAGATACGCTGACCCGACACGAACTATACTCTCCCGTTCGCCTTCGGCACACCAGCATCATCGACTTGCTTTCCCCGTAGCCCCGAGGATAGCGGAGAGAAATTGGGGGAGAAACGAGAGTGCGCGCGGGGTCGTGACTCGTAAAAGCGTCAGCTCCGATTGGAAGGATAAGTGGGTGGACTCAAAGGCCAGCTGCCTTTGTCTGTACCCAAAGCGTCGTCTGCTCCTCGCGCAGTCTCATAAGCAGAGTAGGGACAAAGGCACCTCTTTCGCCTCCTTCCATTCGGACCTCCACGTTCGGACATCCCCGCGCGCTTTCATCTCCACTTCCTCGTTTATCTCCGTATTTTAACTTAGCAAATTCAAGCCTAGATCCAGAGCTACGACCTGCCTTCTTCGTATCTCCTTTTGGAACCCCGAAGAGAAAAGCAGGAAGGTACCAAGAGAGGGGCACGAAGTCAACAAATTTGTTTCGAACATATGACACGAGTGACACTCGGCTGCTCAAGCAACGTGGGCTGCAGTTACATGTCTAAACGTCGCATAGGATCAACCTAAACAATGCCATTAGCGAGCAGCCCGAAAATGTCCCAAACCAATGCTCAGAACCCGCATTTTTTTTTTTTTTTTTAACGAAACAATTTGTCTTACCGCGGTATGACTGTATGAACTGCACTGTGTTTTTTTCTTTAAACGCACCTGCCCAGTTAAAGGCCCCAAGGAAACTAACTCCAAGATGAATGGGCGAGCAGAGAGCAAACAGCCAGGTCTGCGCATTATCAAAAGACCGCGAAACGATTGCCAGCGAACCGATATTCACCGCTTGTTTCCGTGCTTTTAGAAATCAAACATTTCCCGTACGTAGTAAAAACATTCCATGACTGGGAAAAAGAGTCGACGGGCAAACACAGTCAGCACAGTGCACAGTCCAACCCGGCACAAATGCACGGTCGCACGCTGGAACGCGTCTACAACTACCACAACTACAATACTGTGTTATCATGTCCAAAAGAGTGGTCCCACGATTTCCGCCTGGTGACGTCAAAAAAATGTCATGCTATGCTATCGCCGGTCGCTTTCCTGATGGTGTCCCAGCAGCGGTGATGTTTCTGGCAGACGCCTGTCCTACTGCAGGTTGCTCTCCAGTTTGACAGTCCACAGAAGTCTTAGCAGCCAGAAGTTGAGACGCCGCGACGACAGCGACAATAAATACGTTCGCTCGTGCTTTTTGCCAGCATTTGTACGACCAACCGCCAGGACCGCGACATCCGACGGCATGATACCCCGGCTTCTGTGATGTCATTTGTTGCCTTTTCAGAGACACTTTTGATGCAAGGGCAGAAGGGAGACGCGCTCCGGGCCTGTCGGATTCGCTACGGATTTGTATATTAAGCATGTCTTGACTTCGTGGTCAGCATATTATTTTTGAATATTTTAAGATACGAAAAGTAGGGGTGTCGCGAACTTTTGTCGAACCAGATTTTTTGGTCGAACTTCCGGGGTTCGACTGAGTCGAACCGGTTCGACGAACCTTCGAACTTTTCACCAGAATCGACCGTTCGACTTTATGGACAGTGTGGCCAGACCTTATTACAAGCATCTCTAGGTTTGGAGAATTTTTTTTTTTTTATGCAAGGGGTTATTTTATTTTTTGAACAGCTGCAATTAAAAGAAACTAATTCTAATCACTGAAGAAGTTAATAACTTAATATTTAGTACTGTATTGACTGAAATAGCCAATCAGCGCTGCACTTAATTCATCCCTTAGCCATTACCATCCAATCCGAAGCCAACTGGCCAGCCTGTCGCGCATGCGCACACGAGTCGAACCTCAATACAAGGTTCGTCGAACTTTCCACTAAAAGTTCGAAAAAGTCGAACCTGGTCGAACTCGAACCGCGACCGGTTCGCGACACCCCTAACGAAAAGTTTTGTCAACAAAGGAAAAATATGTCTGGCTACTTGAAATAAAAGGGCACTATTTAGCGAAGTTTGTAGAGCATCGAGCATCACTGAAAATTGCGTTCGTTTGTAAGATTTATAACTGTTATGACGTCACAAAACGTTTCTGGCATAAAATTTATAAACCCATATTATAGCAATATTCAACAATTTTAAACATAAAACAAATTTTACCAAGGCTTTTTTTTTTTAATTAGAAGTTAGCGCTTTCAAGTCCTTGCGCAGTGACGTCACGGCAACTAGGAATTCACCGACGCTGGATAAAAGAATCGTGCTTGAAATGGCGTTATTTTTGTCATGGTTACTTTGCGTCGTGCTGCTTCGGTTCGGTAGCTCCCTGCTGATACGAACCTTCCTGAATCCTTACGACATATTTGTTGCTTTGGTTGGACGCCCCACAAGGAGATGAATCCTGCCTGCAAACGGATAGAAGTTTGGGAGGGTGTCGACGAAGAAACGTTCCGCCGTGGTATCTACTCGGCTGTACGTACCGCTGGAATTCTTCGTACAGTACATTGCAAACTCAAGCGAATTCCCGTTTTGCAACATTGCAGAGAGTGCCGGCTGTCTTACGGGGCATTCCTATCGGACCCTGTCAAAGCTTGTGGGACTGCGAATACCTCTCCAAGCACGGGGGAACGCAACCCGTCAAAATCCACGTCTCTCCTGACCGACACATGAATTTCCTGGACAAAAACTTTGTTTATAGGTGTGTGAAGACGCGAACTCTCAACACTACCTGGAATAGTCAATGAGCGACGTCTTTATTTATTTATTTCTCAGGACTTTGCCATTTGACGAGCTTGTGAAGCGATCAGCGCGCTCCGTGCAAGAGGAGTATTTTTTATGCGAGGTGAGCGTTATTTGTAAGCACATGCTTGTCATCAACACTATGCCTCTTCTTGATGTTCAGACGGAGCTTTACTACCTGAGATCTCTTGGGGCGGATTCCCGGAAGCAACCAGCCAACATTCAAGTCGAATTTCCCGAGCTGGCAAAAGACGTTGTCCTCCCCAACTTTTTTCCTGAGGAGGCATTCTTTTCGAGCGTGCTTCGAGTGGCTTCTCCTCAACTTTGCCTGTGGACACACTACGATGTACGCATTTTGCACCCTTGAATAATTGTACAACTTGCTGTACTTGAACTGTATAACTGTATACCTCTTGTCTTCTCTAGGTCATGGACAACTTTCTGATTCAAGTGAGGGGAAGGAAACGTGCAATATTGTTTCATCCCAATGACCTCGAATACTTGTACATGAAAGGCGAGTTAATCATCTTATATGTTAGTGTAATATGGAGCACTATGGCCGTTGCAAGATGTTTGGATAACTTTTGAACTTCTGTTGAAGGGGACAAGTCGCAAGTGCTGGATGTAGACAATCCAGACCTGGAAAGGTACCCGGACTTTTTGAAGGCGACACGCTATGAAGCCACTCTAGATGCTGGTGACATACTATTTATACCAGGTGAGGTAATTAATTACAAGGTTAATTTGTGGTGAATGTTGGCTGATCTGCACTTTTCCTGGACAGCCCTGTGGTTCCATAACATGACTGCATTGGACTTTGGTGTTGCTGTGAACGTTTTCTGGAGACACTTGAAGTCCGGACTGTACGACAAAAACGATCCCTATGGAAACAAAGATCCCTTGCCAGCTGGAAAAGCCCTTGCGTTGATCGCAAGGGCGCTGAAAGAGCTCCAAGAACTGCCAGAAGACTACCAACAGTTCTACAGTCGACAAATGATTTCTCAGATCAGGCAGGCACTTCACACATGAGAAAGAAAGCATTTCAATAGGTGCGGCGAAAAACGTTTTATAAGAAGCGATTAAAAAATTAATAAAAAGTCAAAGAATAAAGGCTGGTTCACACAGAGCCGTTTTCTTACATTACGTGTGAGTTAAGTCACCAAAATATTCCTGTCTCGAATGTCGCGTGCCAGGCTATCTTATTGCAAGGTAGCAATGCTTAATATGAGGCAGATATTTTCCGGTTATTTGTAGAGAAGGTTTCGTAACGCAACGTAACGTAAAAAAAAAAGAAAACAAAAAAAAAAAAACATTTGCTTTTACTTTTTTTTTTGCTTGCTCCGTAACGGTAACACGGAAATACATAATTAGCAAGCAGATATTGCATAAAGTGCCCTCAACCAATTTTAAAATCCAGTTCATTCCCAGCCATTCATAACTCGTAAAAAAATGTGTCACATAAAACTTTACGGCTGACTGCTGACTCTGCTTGCGGCCGCCAATCGCCGCGCCTGTTCCCGTTTCGATAGCGGAAGCGGAAATGACGCCATCTTAATAGTTACGCCCAGTAAGGCGAGTTTGTTGAGGCCGGCTGAAGAAATTATCGTTGTTCTCTCGGTGAGCTGAGTTCTTTCGCACCTTTCTCACGTTTGTCGAGCGAACACAACGCGGAAACGAGCCCAGTTCGTCACCCAACATAGCTGGCTTGCGCTGTCAACTTTGCTGTGGTCAATCTGACAAAGCTATCAAAATGGCGGTGCACGGTAAACTGCGTTGCATAAAAAAAATCGTTGCCACTAGGCCTAACATATTTGTATCTTCACACGTTCGACCAAGTTGTAAAAGCGGCTTAGTGAAGTCCGAGCTGTCCGCAGTAACGCGGGGAATCGGTCACTCTCATCTCCGTGGCAAGGCCCGTCGGTCTTTGTCATCGCGCTTGGCCATCGGCCGACTGGTCACCCGGGCGAGGAACCTCGGAGCAGTGTCATAGTTGAATAACTTGTTCCGGCATTTCCTGACTCGCGAAGTTTTACGTTCCGAGAGAGAACATACAGACGCATGATCGGTATTTGCTTTAACTGTTAATCGTCTTCTGTTTGTCGTGTTGAGGGGCAACTCTTCGGAATAGCAGCGTGCCGATTTTTACGCACTAGCTTCCCGTGTAATGCCGGCATTCCTCGAATGTTTCGCTGCTGCCGATGTCACTCTTCAGTTTTCTTTGACTTGTCGGCGCTCATCGGTCATGCGAAAGCGTCTCAGTCGAGGTTACAATATGAACACTGAGATCTTCGTCTTTTTCTCTCTCCATTGGCAGCGAGAGAAAACTTGCTTGATTAGGCCCACCTTGGAAGCAAGGTTTCCACTTCCAGGTAAGCGACTCTGACGCCGCGAGATTTAAGTAAATTTTTGGCGGTCGGTGTCGTATGCCGGCCTGTGTGTTGACAAAACCGCAAAACTTTAACAAACGTAAAAAGCAAAAAGGAATGGAGCAAGCTAACAAAGCATGGCATATTCAATTGGTCCCAACCACATACTCAAATCTGTATAATAATAATAATCTTTATTGGCTCAGAAGAGCCGTGGCACCGCGGAAAGGCGACTTCGCAATTTCCTTTTTGAGTAAATGGCGAAAGGGAACTTGTTTTCCTTTAGGAAGCGCGGGTAAAAACAATTAACGGCGCCGTTAAGTCCTTTGGTGTTTAGTGCGTGAAGGCTGTAAAGCTTGGAGGCAGATGGATGGTCTATTACATTGTGAGTGTACCACACAAGCAGTTAAATTTCCTGACGTTTTGATGTTTATACTAAAAATTCGGACGATTCGGTGTGCAATGCAGCATCGAGTAGTTTTGTGAATGCGTTTGGACAGGTTCGGTGTCAACAATAAGAGTTGCTTCTTTTTGGTCCTTGCTTCCTTTGAAATATGTTGTCAAACATAACACCTCAGATTCTTTGAGGCCCACCACAAAAGTATAGGGACATTATTTTCAAGTTTATCACATCACTTCTAGAGAACATAAGAATATTTTTATTTTGAAGCTTTTTTGTCAAAATAGCTAATATATTACTTTGGCATGTCCTTCCTCAATCAGCAGGTTCATTTTCGGTTGTGGAAGAATGTCAACATAACAATATTGCATACCAGAATGAATGGGGCCTTCCTGAGCAGTCCGTTTGGCACTCAACTTTATGATGATTTTCTCTAATTGTTCCTCAGTATGACAAACTATCTGGTAATAAATATTTGCACAGACAAAAAAAAAAAAAAAATTGCTAGCAAGTGAGAAACTTGTGTCAGATGCTGCTTCTCCAGTAAAGACACCACCTACAAGTTTTAGCATGCATGTCTGCTGTGTCTGAAATCAACATAGCTATATCTATTGTGAGGAAGATCAGTAACTTTGCAACAAGTGTGGCATTAAACAATTGATTTGATATGACCTTCATATAAACTAAAGGGAAGGAACTGCATGAAGCATGATGTATAATCTAAGACACACTTCTTTGTGGCAATGTGTCAGTGACAAAACCGAGGCTAAATTAAAGGACTTCTCATTTTCTCTGGGCCTCGAAGCACAAGTTTCGAGGTGAAACTTGTGCTGTTTTTGGAATCTCTGTGGCATGATTGAATTTATTTACACTTTCTCATTGTAGCAAAGGCATAACGTGCAGTTTTTGGGGCTGACCAGACCTTTACCTACAATCTGGAAAGGATTTTCACTCCAGATTCATTTACTTTTTGTGATTGGAGACAAATCGGTTGGGTAGAAAACTAAGCATGTACAAATATGGTGAATGAAATTAAAATTGACAGAATGTTTTCATTCTCTGCAGGGACAGTGCGACCACGATGCAGACCATAAAATGTGTGGTGGTTGGTGACGGCGCTGTTGGTAAAACATGTTTGCTGATTTCGTACACAACAAACAAGTTTCCATCAGAATACGTCCCCACGGTGAGTGGTGGTTTGCATTTCTACATTCCTCCTTTCTCTCGTCCGTCAGTTCTACTCGAGAAGTCTAACAACCCTCAACCTTGGCAGCTCTGTCACACATCCAACGGCTCCTCTTTTGTGTTACAATAGTGGCTCTAAAGGGCTCTTAAATGTTTTGCTGGCCCATGATAAATTAAAAGTTCCCACAGGGGCACCTGTGAAAGAAGATGTCTGGTGAGTGGCGTCGCCACAGACCCCGAGCCATGTGGGTTCGCCCTCCCACGTCTGGCTGTGTGTGGCTTTCCCGTGTCCGGGGAAAAGGGCGTACTGGTGGTTCAGCCGAGCCTGGTGTAGGTTTGAACCCTTCGGGGCCCCCTGGGTGAGGCTATACACCACTTCGGCCAGTCAGTCGCCTTTCTTCTCTCCTACCTTTTCCTTTTTTCTCTTTCTGCCCTTCTTTCCTCTTTCACCTTCTTTGGCGGCAAGGGCTAACCTTGGGTGTTGTTGACAACCCCAATTAGATCCACACTTGGTCATAGTTTCTGGGTAGCGCTAATACAGTAACACTTCCAGCAAAGTCATTTTCGTTATGGGGCATTACCTATCCCCTCTTTGGGCGCCAGAGATTCAAAACATTCTTTGCTCTCCTATGGTGCCCCACCCTTCCGAACCCCGTTCAGGGCAAGCCTTTAAAGGTTGCTGTCTTGAACTCAAGACCATCGACAAAGATTCTAAAGTAGAAGGATTTACAAAGTTTTTCGTTGTTCATTTGCTTGATGAACAGAAACCTGTTGCAAAGCTGTTGCCTTTTGTTGTAGCAAAGGTACTGGAAAACCTTGTCTGGTTCTCCTACAAGGCTAAAAAGCAGCACTCCGGAACCTCCTAGTGGAGGTAACCACTAAGAAACAAAGTGAAGCGCTCCTGAAGCTGACCAGTATTCTTGATGTAAAAGTGTCGGTGAGCCCTCACCGCATGCTCAACACCACCCGCGGAGTCCTCTCCAAGGATGACTTCTTGCACACTAGTGAGGAAGAACTCCTCAAAAGACTCCAAGGTGTCGGCATTGTTGCCATCAGTAGCATCATATTTCGTAAAAATGGTGAGGAAACTCCTTCCTAACACATCATCCTTACTTTTGAAAGACATGCACTGCCAGAAACTATCAAGGCAGGATATCTTAACTGCCGCATCCGCCCTTATATGCCCAACCCCCAGCGGTGCTTCCGTTGCCAGCGTTTTGGCCACGGATCACGCAGCTGTCGGGGGAAGGGAACATGTGCAAAGTGCGGCAGCCACGACCATCTAGCTGACATCTGTTAAGGTGCAGTTTCCTGCACCAACTGCAAGAGTCCTCACCCTGCATACTGTCCCTCCTGTCCCTTGTGACGGCAAGAAAGAGAAATACTCACCCTAAGAGCCAAAGGAAACATCTCATATCCATAGGCAAAGCAAAGATTCCCTTTCCTTTTGAAAGGCACATACTCTGACATGGTGCGCCCCCCTCCACTGCAAACGTAATCAAATTCTACCCAGGTCTCGCCTGAAGCCCTGGCAGTAGCTCTTCAGGCCCCAACCCCCACCCCCCACAGGGGCAGCAGCTCCCCCCACCTTCTGGAGGGAGCACATTAGCTGCCCCCAAGTCTTAAGACGGGCAGGCAACGCCTGTGCTTGTCCTTACTCCGAGGCCTTCCCCCGGTGGGAACGAGCGACACTCTTGCCCCAACTCACTGGAGAGGGCCTCCTCCTCCAAAGAGCAGCACAACTTTCGTGCTGCTTTCTCTCCTGGTGCTCCCGGAGAGGGCAGAATTGAAAGACGCTTTGTCCAGCACCTCCGCTGCCTCTTTGGCTGGTCGCGACCGGGGCCTTGCTTCCCATGATCCAAGCCGGAAGAAAACGCTAGCTAATACCAGCGGCACGCCCGAAGTCCGGGGAGTTTGACGATTCGGCTGCTCCTGCGTCCGACTCGGACAGCATGGAGTGGCAGATGCAGACCTGTGCAGCGAGGAACAAAAAAAACGCTTACTGCACCAAAGTAGTCCATGTTGTCTCTCTGCCTAGTTTAAATCTTTTTCACTACCAAGTTTTATTGATTTACATTTTCCGGTGTAAACAAATTTTATAAATGGCAAAAGTACATTTTATGCAATGGAACTGTCGCAGCCTTTTAATAAATATTGGTGATATAAATAATTTTTTAGATGAGCTTCGGCCGATAGCTCTTGCTCTGCAAGAAACTCATCTTCATGATCGCTCCGCTGATATTTTAAGATGTCGAAGGGTCTTTAGGAAAGGACAGTCTTTGTGATACTTCCTCTGGTGGCGTGGCAGCGATTGTACTGGGTGGGATCGCCTGGGTCCCACTTTGTACACCACTTGAAGCTGTGGCAGTGTGCCTTCTTTTAGACCACCTCATAACATAATCATAACTGTATTTACCGCCTATCACTCCGTTACATCTTGGAGAATTGCAGGGTCTTGTGGGCCAACTCCCACAACCCTTCATGGTTCTGGGTGATTTTAATGCCCATCACCCCATGTGGGGTAATGTTCAAGACTCCCATGGAGGTGTAGTCAAACGTCTTTTATTGGCATCTGGGCTATGTCTTCTTAATGGGAGAGAGCCAACATTTTTCAGTGCAGCTGACACCTCATTTACATCCATAGATCTGTCAATTTCGTTGCCGTCATTATTTCCTTGCTTTACTTGGAAAGGTCTAACAACCCTTTTGGTAGTGATCACTTTACGATTGCCTTAAAAAGGTTCAGCTGCCCTCAGTCTTAAAACGAATCCCTAGGTGGAAGTTAGATAAAGCTGATTGGTCACTTTTCGTGCTACATTCCACTTTGGACCCGTCTCTGCTTCCTTCTACTTCGCCCAAAGATGCTTCGCTCTATGTTACTGAGCAGATACTAAATGCTGCTGAGGTGTCTATTCCACGAACCTCGGGTAATGTGCCAAAGAAATGCAAACCATAGTGGAACAAGTGTGCCACAACCCTAGCGGATCAAAACAGACCTTGGGGAAAATTTTGCAGGTACCCTACATCATGTAATCTTGTGGAGTTCAGGCAGCAAAAAGTTAAAGCCCATTGGACCAGGAAGCAATCAAAATGGAAATCCTGGATGAAGTATGTTTCTTTTATAAATAGTTTTGTGCCAACCTCCTTGTTTGGGATAGATACAGGAAAATAAATGGAAATGCAGGGATAAATGGATATAGGAAAATAAACGGTGCAATTTCCACTCTCAATACCCCTCCTACATCTTTAGTCGACTTCGGCAACATACTTTAAGATTTTTATAACACGTCCAGCTCGGCAAACTACAGTGATTCTTCCAATAGATTTAAATCTCGTGCAGAGCGACAAAACGTCTCCACGTCTGGGGGAGACTCGGAGCATTATAACCAGCTGTTTACGCAGCGTGAACTTGAAATGGCACTTGACATTACGAGGGTTTCTGCTCCAGGGCCCGACGCAGTTCACTATGAAATGCTTCATTGCCTTTCTCCCGAGTCTAGTCTTCTCTTGCTCTTCAATTTCTTGTGGGAAAAAGCCTGCTTTCCCCATGCCTGGAAGCATGCACATGTCATCCCGCTTCTAAAGCCTCAGAAGGACCCTTCACTACCATCAAGTTACCTCCCAATTGCTCTGACGAGCTGTCAGGAAAACATTTAAAAGGTTTATAAATCGGCAGTTAGTATACACTCCGTGCGGGAACTATAGGGGGCGCTTTGAAAAACGCGCGCAGCGCCGCTAGCGGTGGAGCTGGCGTTTGACCGTGAGGCGCGTTCAGCAGCCTGCGGCGCCTTTTCGCATGCCAAGCTGTGGCGGCGGAAGTGCGCGTGGACGAAACCTTTGCTTTTTGAGCCGATACGTTGAGGGTGACATTGCATGAGTGCTGGGGCAGACCTAAGAAAGGCATTTAGCTGTTCTCCACTTCTTATATATTGAGTTTGAGTCGTTATTAGGGGTAATTTCTCTAGTTGCAGCCAAAAAAGGAGTTGGAGCGATTTTCCGAAAAGCAAGACGGCCGCCACCATAATTGCTCTGAGTGGTAAATTTATTCCGCTTATCGCTGTAAACGTAAGACTGCTGGAACGATGATATTGGAGGCGAGTGAGATGTTCACTAAGTTTGTGCACGAAGTGTGCCAAGTTTGATTAAGACAGCAGGTGTGAAAGTTATGTTTTTAACGAATAAAGAAATAAAGCTGTACGGTATATCCAATATTGAACCCAAAATGTTGTGTTATAGCGGGCTGTGCAAAGTGCAGATTTGGGCACACAGGTGCTTGGACTTGACAGTAACATGACACACCACTTATTATACAAAAAAAGGTGCCATAGGCAAACCAGGTGAAAATTTGGTTTGGGCGGCGTAACTCAATGGGAACCGGTTTTGACCATGAAAAGGCTGTCAAGAGAATACCACTGGTCGGGGGAGGTGGAGACTTTAGAGGTAGGAAGGGACTAGTGGGCTCTACTTCCAATTGAAACAACTTTACGAAAGGTGGTTCCAAAGCCGAGAAAACAAAGTTGTCGGCCAACACACGGTTTGGCCGCCAAGGGCTTTTGCGGTCAGCTGTTGTGTAATACCCTGTTGTGCGAGGTGCTGATCTCCGGCGCACAGGTACTTTGACATGACCGTCACTTGGCACAACACTTATTATAACAAAAATAGTTGGCATAGCGAAACCAGTTGGAAATTTAGTTTGGGCGGCGTAACTAAATGGGAACTGGCTTTTACCGTCAAAGGCTGTCAGATATTACCACTCATCGTGGGAGGTGCACACTTTACTGGTAGGAAGGGACCAGTGGACGGTACTTCCAGTTCGAACCACTTTGCGATAGGTGGCTCTAAAGCCGAGAAAAAAAAAATGTTGTCTACAGAACTCGGGGTGTCAGCGTTTCCACATCTAGAAGGAGGCTGATCAAGAAAGAAAGCACACCACATAAACTTCCATACCCAAACGCCGATTCTCCAGTGATTCCGAGTTTCATTGTTGTTTTCTTTAGATTT